TGCCTCAGCCTTCTGAGTAGCTGGGATTACAGGCACTGCCACTATGCCCAGGTTAAAAAGTTGTGTTATATGCTGGGGTTACCATGAGAACAACATAAAAATACCCCAACTTTGTAAAATTATCCCCTCCACACACTTAGACACCATATATCCATATAGTTTTGCAAAATAGGTCCCCCAGTAACTGCCAATTAATAACTGTCAATTAGGGAATAATTAATATATGCCAGGACATTTACACACATTGTCTTGTTTTTATCCTCAAAACAACCAGAAAGGTAGGCACTACTATTTCCATTTTCCAGGTGAAAAAAACTGAAACTTGGGGCTGGGATTGTGGCTCAGTGGCAGAACGTTTGCCTGGCATGTGTGAGGCACTGGGTGCAATCCTTAGCACCACATAAAATCAATCAATCAATCAAGGTATTGTGTTCATCAACAACTAAAAAAATATATTTTAAAAAACCCCTGAAACAGCATTTATATAATTTGTGCAGTATCACATCACTAATAGCAGAGCCAGGGCTTGTCCTTGTCCCTCATTTTCAGCCTCTCCTCTTCTCCCCTTGTATTGTATTTGGTTGTATTGTATTTGGTTGCTTCCCCAGGAGCAGAAGCTCTCTGCAGGTAGGGTTGTGGTCTAGATCATCTCCCAGCCCCAGTCCCCAGCACAGGTCTACATTTTTGTTCAGTCAAAGAATTCACCCACAGGGGAAATAGTTTGGTGGTGGAGCAGTTGCCTAGCATGCAGGAAGTCCTGCATTTGATCTCCAGTATCAAAAAATAAATAAAAATTCATACACAGCCTCCCTGCCCATGGGACACAAGGAAGCAAAGGAAGAAAATACACACTGAAACACAAACCATACTTAAATGCATACATGTGTAACATGTAGTGGATACAGTACAGAGCTAGGTGTTCATTTCCTATTTGGGTTCAAACCCTGATCTTCCAGGTACTGGCTAATGTACTTCGGTTTGTACATTGGCAAAGTGGAAATTGTGATAGAGTTCTTGTTTATGTTCAGTGATGAAACACATGTGAAGTTCAAAGACCGGCACTGGCACATAGCCACTCTGATAAATATTAGCTTTTTTTTTTTTTTTTGGTACTGGGGATTGAACCCAGGGACACTTCACCACTAAGCTACACCCCCAGTCCCTTTTTTTTTCTCTTGTAGTTGTAGGTAGACACAATACCTTTATTTTATTTGTTCATTTCTATGTGGTACTGAGGATAGAACCCAGTGCCCCACACATGCTAGGCAAGTGCTCTGCCACTGAGCCTCAGCCCCAGTTCCCCTTTTATTTTTAAGATAGGGTCTTGCGGGCTGGGGTGGTGGCTCAGCGGTAGAGTGCTCGCCTAGCATGCATGAAGCACTGGGTTCGATCCTCGGCACCACATAAAAACAAACTATTGTATCCACCTAAGAACTAAAGATACATAAATAAATATTTTTTTTTTTTAAAAAAGATAGGGTCTTGCTAAGTTGCTTAGGGCCCCACTAAGTTGCTGAGGTTGGTCTTGAACTTGTAGTCCTCCTGCCTTGGCCTCCTGAGTTACAGGGATCATAGACATGTACCGCCAGGCCTCACAAATATCAACATATTGCTATGGATAATGTTTGTACATACTCACACAACCTCTCATGTTCGTGGGCACTGTCTTCCCAACCCCTTCCAGTCTAGCTTAGTTGAAGATGGCCTTGTGGCTGACAGGCTAGGCCCCTGAGCCATCAGGAAAAGGCAGTTGCTTCTCTGCATCCACCTGGGCTAACCTGGGCCAGCCCACAGGAGTGGTAGGGCTGAGAGTACTGCTCCTCACTAGCCCTGGGTTCCATCAGAGAAGACTTCCTGGAGGAGACATCCAACCAAGCTGGGTAAGGGAGTCAGGTAGAAGCAAAAGGGTGCTGCCCTGTGCCTTAGCTCCCTCTAGTGTTCCTCACAACACCCCCCCCCCCCCCACCTCTGCCTCAGCTCTCTCCACTCCAGTCCCCACAGTAGAAACTTTCCTCTCCTCCTGCCAAAGTGTAAATTGCCCCCAGGAATGTGCTATGTCCCATGGCCCTCCTGGCAGTGGCCATCAGATGTCCTGGGCTCAGGCCTGGCCCTACATCAAAGGCTCAGGATCAGTAACAGTGTCTCCTCTCCTGCGGCTCCCTTCCCCTCGTCAGCCCTCCCCTCCACCTCCCCACTGGCTTCCAGGAAACGGCACATGGTAGCACTTAAGCTCTGGAGGATGGAGGATGCTTTTCTGACACCCCCACCTCCCACCAGCCACAATGAACTACTTGTTAGGAGACTATTTTAATTTTACTTAATGTGATTTCGGCTCCTGGGGTCTCTATTGCCACCCTCTTCTTGGACCTGGATGCCCAGTACAAATGTAGGGGAGGCCAACCTCCCAGGAGAAGGTGTAACCTGAATATGGAAATTCTACCCATGTTGGGGGTCTGGGGCGGGAAGAGGACTGGTACATCAGGGAGATGGGTCTGGTGCTCTGGATGACACCAGAGTCAGGAAGTAAGGGGACTGGCTAGGGGAGGACTTGGAGCTATCCTGTACAACTCAGGAAGCTAGTATGAGAACCTGGGAGTGTATGCTGGCCAGACATCCTCGGCCAACATGTTTTTCCAATGCCCTGAGTTCAGTAGGCAGGACCTACCTTGCCAGCCATGTGAGCTTTTCTTTCAAATCTTGTCAGGGTGACTAAAGGAGGGGGATACTTGCTTCATTAGGTGCCTCTTCTAGCAAATTCTGAAAACCAGAGTCTAGTGGTCACTTCCTGGGACAGTAGGATGGTGACGTGGAGACCCCTGGTGGTCAAAGATTGTGAAAGGTGACCTTTCCAGAGCTTTGCCCAGCTGGCTCCAAGCTCATGGGCTACCACCATGGATTCCTCTATCCCTAGAACTCTGCCACAAACTAGGCTACCTGGAAACCATCCTCACTGGTCAGTGTCTACCACACTGGCCCCACGATCCAGCCCCATCTTGCTGGGAAGGAGTGTATGGTACATCAGGGAAAATAGGAGTAGGTACTTCAGCCATAGTCACGGGCCAAGAGACACATACCTACAACCTATCAAGTACAGGACTGGGGAACAGAAAGTAGGTTTCTAGGGTTTGTGTGTTTGGTGCATTTGGAAAGATGATGATGTCATGTTCCGAATAGCTCTGCAGTCCCCAGGCCTTTTCCTTCCCTGGGCCCTTGGGAGCATACCACACAATCATGGGGCTGTGGGTGGCAAAGTCACTAAGGGGGCCTAATTTCCACAGCTAGCCAATCTGTAATAGTGCCCACGTCTAACTCTGGGAAGGGAAATGCTCAAAACCTCATGCTATATAAATGGCTGCTAGAAAGCAGAATGTGACACAGGGAGGAGGGAAGGGAAAGGGTGGTGCAGCCGTTTTTTGGCAGAGTCCAGACATTACACAAAGCTTTCCACATCTGGGCCCCAACGTTCATTTCCTCAACCTCATTCATTCATCCATTCAGCTCGGGTGTGACTAGACCCGGCTTTATCCTGGGCACTAAGGATACAGTTGACCAAAAGAGGAGGCCTCAGATTTTTCTAAAGGTATTTATTTATGTAAGAAAATGCCTTGGATTTTATTTTTTAATTCATCATTTGTTTTTTATATGACAATAGAATATATATTTTTTTAAAGAGAGAGTGAGAGAAGAGAGGGAGAGAGAGAGAGAGAATTTTAATATTTATTTTTTAGTTTTCGGCGGACACAACATCTTTGTTTGTATATGGTGCTGAGGAGCGAACCCGGGCCGCACGCATGCCAGGCGAGCGCGCTACCGCATGAGCCACATCCCCAGCCCAATAGAATATATTTTGACATATTATACATACATGGATTAGAACTTATCCTAATTAGGATTCCCCCCTCTCATGGCTGTACATGATGTGGAGTTTCACTGGTTGTGTATTCATATATGAACACAGGAAAGTTCTATCTAATTCATTCTACTTCCCTCTTCTCTCCCTTTCCTTCCTTCCCATCCCCCCTCCCTTCCCTTCATTCCCCTTTGTCTAATCCACTGAACTTCTCTTCTCTTCCTATCACACACAGGTGGCTGAGCATCCTCATCAGAGAGAACATGGGACCCCAGATTTTATCTGAAGGGAAAAAGATTAAGAGACTCAGAGAAGAAAAGGATCCTAGAGGATAAGCCTCCCTATACTTGTTCACATAGAAGTGACCATAACTTTTCAGAGCCTAACCTAGTTGGAGGCAAGTCCTGTGCAACCTTCCCCCTTTTCCTGGGGTCTCAGAACCCGGTACTACCCTTGCACAACCAAACCACACTTTGAGCACAGTGCACCTACAACTGGTTCCCCCTCGACTCAGACCTGTGCACTAAACTTTGGAAGGCTCAGAGGCCCATTTCTACCCAACAACCTATCTGAACTCAAGGCCTTAGGCTGACTCCAAGAACAGTGCTACCAAATACAGCCTAACGCACCCTCTGCTTCCTACCTTTAAAAACTCAGTAAGACTGGGAGAAGGGGGCTGGGGTTGTGGCTCAGTGGTAGAGGGCTTACCTGGCATGTGTGAAGCATTGTGTTCAATCCTCAGCATCACATAAAAATAAATAAATAAAATGAAGGTATTGTGTCCACTTATAACTTTAAAAAAAATTATATATTAAAAAAAAAAAATGGGAGAGGGAGCTGAAGGCCTGCTCCCCTCTCCCCGCAAGTGTTAACATGGCCTCAAAAAAAAAAAAAAAAAAAAAATCAAGAGCATGGGCTTTGAGTTTGGTCCAGCTTTAAACCCTGGCATCTCCACTTAATAACTCATGACCTTGGACAACTAACTTGTGGTCTCCCCTTTGAAAATAGAATTACTGTCAACTAGATAACATATAGTGTTCAGTACAGTGTCCAACATGCGAAAAGTGCTCAGTGTTACCCCGGCACCATGGTTTACATGGTCTTTCTAGTCAAACCTTGCATGGCTGAGCAGAAAGAAAACAGGACATGATTGGGATTTCACTCAAGAATGTGTCTTTATTGAAGAATTTGTAAGAAAAAAGGATGGATCCTCTGTAAAAAGAGGAGATGTTGCCTCCAAACAGCAGGGAGGAATGAGACCTGGGTGGCTTCCCAGAAGTCGGTGTTTCTGGCATTACTGGCTCCTGTGTCCTGGCAAGCACTACAGCATGTCACACTACAGCTAGCAATTCCTACCCACCCTTCTCCCAACCCTCCACCCTCTACCCCACGAGCCTGGATTCCCTGCAGACATTTGCCAATGGCTTTATGAAGGCCCAGGGATAGATGTGCCAGGCTTCTCTAAATGGGGTCAAAGTGGGTTTTGCTTTGGAAAATTCACACAGGAATGTAAAATGGTCTGAGCTCCTTCTAGTCCAACCAAAGACAATTACATCCAGCCCCCTCTGAAGGGAAAGGGAGCAAAGAATTTCTCCCTTCTGAATGTGCACACTTGTGGGGTAACTGGACTGTATCAGTCTGTTCTTTATTAGCATGGAGAATGGAAACAAGATTTTAAGAATATATAACATCCGTGTTAGAGTCACTGAGTTCCAGAGGGCAGAGGGAGCACTGGATCCTTTTTTATTCCAACAAACGCTCCTGCTGGCTACCCTCAAGTCCTGAAAGTGATCATTCTTCTCCAGCTGGGAGATTGTCTTCGATCCGCCTGATGAACCTCATCCGGATTTCTGTCACACCGTCTCCTTTCAGGGTGTCCTGGACAAACTTGGCCTCCACAGCCATCTGGACCTAGGGGACAGTGGGAAAATGAAGGAGCAGATACCTAGCCAAAGACTCTGGGGAACCACTGGGGATGGGGCTATAACTGACAACACCCACAGCAGTCCAAAAAGGAGGGCTGGTTTTCTACAAGGTCAGGGTGGCCAGGTCTAGTGTTCCACTGCAGAAGACAGTGGCCCTAACCCATAAGGAGAAACTCAGGAATGAGGCTGGCCAAGTAAGTCAATTTGGGAAAGGATATGCCTAGACTAGGCGGCTGACAGCACCAGTTCCCAGCCTCATAGGGAGGATCATCATCATCTAGAGATGTCCATCTTGAATCCTGTATCAGCAACATGGCTACTGTAAGCAGAGAGGGCTGGGTTGAGCCAAAGCCCCTTCTCTCTCTCTCTCTTTCTCTCTCTCATTCAAGATCCTATTGCATCGCAGGTGTTGCAGAAGGTAAACTTGGAAACTCACCATTTCCAAGGCTCCTCGCAGCACCCCACATAAGAGATTGGAATAAATAAGGGACGAGTGGTTATCAGGAAGTTCCACAAAGTCCACCAAGGGGTTATTTTCCAAAATGAGGGAGAATTCATCACCAGCTGGACTCCAATTAGTGATGCTTGGAGTGATGCCCAAGTACATCTTGAACGCCACCTGTTCAGGGAACACACAATAGCACTATGGGGAAGGACAGCAGAAACTGTACAACAGTGAAGGCATCAGGCCTGCAAAGGAGAGAAACAGTAGCTCAGAAATAAAACTGGTCTCTGAAAGATGATGACACCTTAGGAATTCAGGGCAATAAAAGGAGAAACATCCGCACAAAATTCCACACCCCTATCCCTTCAATCATACAATTAAGCAACAACTCAGCATCTATTTGTGCTTCTCAGTGGAAGGGAGAAACAATCTTCTGACAGGGGCAGCTACCCTGAACCAGCATCTGAGTGCCGAGAGGTGCTGATCCCACTCCCTGTCCTCTGTCTGTGCTACCTGAACCCACTTCCTTGAAGGTGAATACAGGTCACAGGGACAGAATTACTTTCAAGATCTCCTTCTCTACCCATTTCCTAATTGCAATGCTCTCTCTACTGTCAATTCTCTTGAAGATTTCGGGTATGGCCAATTACAACTGAAAGAACTTACAATTCAAAGAACCCTCTCTGAGGTACCTGACATCACAGAGCTGTGGAAGCTCTAGCATTTATTATACCATAATATAGAGTATAATATTAATAATAGCACTAATGTTAATAACAGTAAACATTTACTGTAAGCATAACACTATGCTAAGTGCATTCATTTTACCTGAATGCTTGTGTCCATAATTCTTACAACAATCATGTGAGGTAGCTCTTTTCATTTTAAAGATAACTGGTAATTAAAGATGTTAAAAGCAACTTACACAAGAACCCACAAATAATAAACACGGGAACATCCCCAGCCCTTTTTATAGTTTTTGCCTATTTACTTATTTATTTGTTTTGATGGTACCAGGGGATTGAACCTTGGGGTGCTCTATCTCTTAGCTACATCCCCAATCCTTTTTTTTTAAGCTGTAGTTGGATACAATACCTTTATTTGTTTATTTTTATGTGGAACCCAGTACTTCACGCATGCTAGACAAGCGCTCTACCACTAAACCACAGCCCTGTCCCCCCAGTCCTTTTTATTTTGAGACATGGTATTGCTAGGTTGCTGAGACTAGCCTCAACGTTGCAGTCCTCTTGCCTCAGTCTCATAAATTGCTGGGATTATAGTTGTACACTACTGTACTAAGCCCAAAGTCCATATTCTTTTTTTTTTTGTACTAGGGATTGAACCCAGGGGTGCTTAACCACTACTGAGCCACATCCCCAGCCCTTTTAAATATTTTCTTTAGAGATAAGAGTCTTGCTGAGGGTCTTGCTAAGTTACTGAGGGTGCATTTGAACTTGCAAGCATCCTGCCTCAACTTTCCGACTTGCTGGGATTACAGGCATGCGCCACAGCGCCCAGCCCAAAGTCCATATTCTTAACCTCCATGCTACTCCGCTGTACTTCACAGAGATCATCTGGCTTTAATTTCAGTGGGGCTTTAATCCACAGGAACGATCCCAATTACTCTTCCTGTTTTTTAATAATCTGCTCTTCCCAAACCATGAGTAAGGTTTCTTTTAGGAAATTAAGGGCCTGGGGCAGAGAAAATGGTAAGCAGTGCCTCCCAATCGCAATCTTTCAGCATGGACAGGTGGCCTAGGATAACGACCTTGGCAATGACATCCGCAGTTTCCCGAAAATCATGGCATCTCCCAACATTTGACCGTGCCAAAAAATCTTCAATCAGTCGAACTCCAATGTTATAGCCCCTGGGAAGGAAATTAAAGAGACTATTATGGGTCTAAACGTCTTACGTCTGAACATAGGCTATTATTGGTAAAGGGGAAATGGGGACAATCTCAAAACATTCCAATAAATGAGCTCAGTGTAAACTGTAACCCAGATGCTGGCTACAAGAGAGAAGACCCTGCTCATGGCTCTAAATATAATGTAAACTCAGTGTGCTGGGGAGCCCCATTTCTGTCTCTCCTGCAAAGGTGCTCACTCACATTTTGTCCAACTGTTTATTCACATCTTCATCATTTTCATAGTCCTTGCACAGCTGGGTGACAAGAGCCCCATAGGTCAGGGTGAAGAGCTCAGAACTCTAAAAGAGATTCAAAAGGCAATCAGGACCAAGCAGCACAAAAGAGACAGTGTGATGAGAATCTGGATCGGCCTCGATGCAACTGTCAGGATTCAATTGAAGATCACATGGTTGCCTGTGGGGAAAAAAACCTCATCCCCTGTGGACTGGTCAGGGAATTTGGGACCCAAGGTCAATATACCAAGGCTGAAGATAGACCCACTGCAAAACAGATGTAAAAGGTACCTCATATACTGGGCAGTCATTCTTTCAACACACCAAGGGATGCTTCTGCCAACCCAAGTCTCTACCACAGCCGCTAAGCCTAAGCGCAGGTCACCAGAATCCAATGTGGAAACTGACACACTCACTTAAGATTCTGTGAAAGAGACCTGAAGAAGACATTCACAAACTAGCCTCAGCTCTGAAGAATGCCTTCCCAAACCTTAGAATGAATGCCCCAAGCTAGAGTTAAGCTGCACTCCCAAGGCTGCATCCAGGAGCAGACAAGGACCCAGCGGCCAGTCCACAGGGAAGGAAGGAAGTCCTAAAGAAACCCGTTGCCCTTAAGACAACACCTCTCCAAAGTCACCGGCACAGGAAAAAATAATGTTCCTCCTAATACACAGCTGGAATGTTTCCAAAAAAGGGATAAGTCTAAAAGAAATACAATCTTCTGTACACTTGAACACAATACTCACCTGAACTGGTTTCCATTACAACCTCAGTTAAAGTAATAGAAACTCTTTCTCGAATGAAGAATTCTAGTCAGGCATGATGGGCATGCTTGCAACCTCAAATATTTGGGAGGCCAGCCTCGTCAAATTAGCAAGACTCTCAGCAATGTAGTGAGACCCTGTCTCAAAATTAAAAAATAAGGGCTGGGGTTGTGGCTCAGTGGAAGAGTGCTCACCTAGCATGCTTGAGGTACTGGGTTCGATCCTCAGCACTACATAAATATAAAATATAGATACTGTGTCCACCTAAAAAATACTTTAAAAAATTAAAAAATAAATAGGACTGAAGATGTAGCTCAGTGGTAAAGTGTCCCTAGGTTCAGTCTCCAGTACTACAAAAGAAAATAAATAAAAGGGGGCTGGGAATGTGGCTCAAGTGGTAGCGTGCTCACCTAGCATGGTTTGATTCTCAGTACCAAGTAAAAATAAAAAATATAAAAAATAAAGATACTGTGTCCACCTAAAACCAAATAAATAAATAAATAAATAAAAGAATCCTGCCACCTACCTAAGAAGAAACAGAGAGATGTGAAAGGTAAAAGGAATGGCAAATACCAAGACCACAGAATGAAAGGAACAGGCAGGGAGGCTTGGGTCAGAGATGAGGCAAAAACCTTTCTATCCTCAAGTCTTCTGGGGAAGAAAGTCCAAGAAATGCTTAGGCCCAGCTCTCGCAGCACAATGCCCCTCACTGCATCGCCATGGCCTGGTGGCGGGGTCTGCCAGTGATAATGATTTGAATGCTTCTCCTTACATCCTGCACACTCCTTTTCTTCATCTCATTTTCTAACCAATGACAACTCAGTAAAGCAGAAAGGGTAGGACTTAATCCTGCTTCAGAAAGGACACTGAGATCAGAATGATTTAATTTTCCCAAAGTCAAACACAGCTAGTTATTAAGAAAAATAATGGGGGGGGGGGCAAAAATTCCTAGCCAATTTCATTATATCCACTGCTCCCCACAACTGCACTGTGTGTGTGTGCGCACGTAGGGGTGCTAGGAATTGAACTCAGGGCTTCCTGCATACTAAGTAAAAGCTTAACCATTGAACTACACCTCCAGCCCCTAAAGCTGCCATATTAACAAGTCCCTCCCTCAACAGAAACAAAAATAAACAGAAAATTAAAAAGCCTTAACAGCACTAGAGTCAAAGAAAATCAATTTCACAATCTGGAAGCTCTTTGAACTGAACTAAAACAGTCAGATCAGGGTGTCTCCAAGAGACTATTTACCAAATATGGCAATTAAAGGGAAGCTATTAAGGAGGGGAATGAATTTTCAGTAAAGTTAAGTTTGGCACTAGAATGGCCTGGACATGAATGGATGGAGACCATCCAGCAGTTACCAGTCTAGAGAATTGGCACCACTGCATTAAATCAGGAGAGCTTTCCTTTCATTATTAATAAGCCCTTGGACGGCGACTCCAAGAGCCTCAGCCCACCATGATGCCAAGTAACATGCATATCATGATAATATCAAGCACCTTACACATACAGCTGCTCTCAATTTACTGATAAGAAAAATCAGGGTCCTGAACACATCTGTCCATGGCGACAAAATCAATATGCCTGGGATCTGTGATCCCTGACTCAGGTTCTCCACACCCTCTCTCAGTCTGCAAATCTGCCTCATCTTCCAACTGTGAATCAAGCCTTTTTGGAATAGTAACATAAATATATAACTTAAAGGTCTTCATATTTTTAAAATACTGAGGGGGTTACGATATAGAAAGAAAATCATTCATTCAACATTTACTATATACCAGACAATATAGCCAAATAAATAAAATAATAAAATAATATGGTTTTGGCCTGGGGTTATGGTAGAATGCTTGCCTAGCATGTGTGAGGTACTAGGTTTGATTCTCAGAACTGCATATAAATAAATTAAAAAAATAAAGATCCATCAACAATAAATTAAAAAAAAATAATTTTACAGATGGTGATAAATGCTACGAAGAAAAATAAAGCACTAAAGTAGATTAGGGAGTGTTTATGTTCATTTATCTTGGGGAATGTTAGTTTTTATTTGTTTAATTATTTTTTTATTAGTTGCTCAAGACAAAACAATGATCTTGACATATCATACATTTGATTCAAATAGGGTATGAATTCTCATTTTTCCATGTGTACAGATTGCAGGATCACATTGGTTATACATCCATGTGTATACATACAGCAATCCTAGTGTCAGTTGTATTCTGCTGCCCTCCTTATCCCCCTCTTGTTTAATTATTTTATGTACAAGAGACTTAACCCAGAGACGTTTAATCACTGAGCCACATCCCAGTTCTGTTAATTTTTTTTTTTTTTTTTTGAGAGAGAGTTTTGCTAAGTTGCTTAAGGCCTTGCTAAATTGCTAAAGCTGGCTTTGAACTTGTGATACTCCTGCCTCAGCCTCTGGAGGTTCTAGGACTAAAGGCGTGCACCACTGTGCCCGGCAGGTATTAGTTTTTAATAAGTAATCAGGGAAGGCTTTGCCAAGGTGACATTTATGTAAAGACCTAAAGGAGGTATGGGTAATTCATGAAGATAGTTGGGTGAAAAAAATTCTAGGCAGAGCCAGGAGCGGAAGTGCACAACTGGAATCCCAACGCCTTGGGAGGCTGAGGCAGTAAGATTGAAAGTTTGAGACAAGCGTCAGCAACTTAATGAGGACCTCAACAACTTAAGAGAGACCCTGTCTCAAGCAAATAAAAATAAAAAGGACAGAGGATGTAGCTCAGTGGCAAAGCACCCCTGAATTAAATCCCCAGGGCCCGCCCCCCAAAAAAATTAGGTAGTTGGGCCAGAGTTGTGGCTCAGTGGTAGAGTGTGAGGCACTGGATTTGATTCTCGGCACCACATAAAAAATAAAATAAAGGTATTGTGTCCATCTACAACTAAAAAAAATATTTTTTTAAAAATTAGGTGGTTAAGTGTAAATGTCCCAAGATAGGAGTACGCCTGGCAGGTCTGAGTGTTTGAGTAACAGTGTCAGTAGAGAGAAATGAGTCAGAGAAAAAAGAGGAAATCAGAGAACAAACGGGGAGCTATGGAGTCTAAAGATCTAGGTTTGGGGACCTTATGACCCTTAAAACAAATGTTCCCATAGGGCCATAAAGGTCAGCTAATTCAACTAGTCCAATTTCTTCACTGAACTTAAGTACCACATTCCCCTCCATCAACAGAAACATGAATCTCTGGGCTGGGGTTGTAGCTCAGTGGTAAAGTGCTTGCCTAACATGGGTGAGGCTCTGGGTTCCATCCTCAGCACCACATAAAAACAAATAAACAAAATAAAGGTTGAATTCTTAAAAAATATTTTATATATATATATATGAAAAAAGAAACATGAATCTCTTCTGCTGCAACACTTATAATTTGATGGCTTTGAATTATATTTAATAATAGCAATGATCATTAACACTTAAATTTTTAGAATGTCTTCAGAAGTTCTTATCTCCTTGACCCTCATAACTATGAGACCCAAACTAGCAGAACCAATATTAGTTGTACTAATTTTATAGAGGATCACTTAAATAACAGACATTCAAATGTCTTCTTATAGTAAAAAGTTTGTTTTTCTAACCAATGCTTTTTTCAAATGTCAGTTTTTCCCATCTGTAAAATGATGCCAAAATTATCTGTCCTTCAGGGTAACTGTGCAATTTCAATGAGATAATGTACATAGAGTATCTGCTGCATAGTAAGTACTCAAGAAAACACACTGCTATATTTTTATTTATTTATTTATTTATTTGTGGTGCTGGGGACTGAACCCAGGGCCTTATGCATGCAAGGTAATTGCTCTATGAGTTATATTCCTCAACACTATTATTTTCTATGTGGTACAGTGCCAGAGAGCACCCTGAAGTATGTTCCAGGACAGCAAATAATAAGAAGAGAGATTGTGAATCAATATAAGAAACTTTCTAACAATTAAAAAAAACACAAAGAAAACTAGGAAGATCTAAGTCTGGACTTACTACCTCACAATCACTTTGCTTTGTAAGCCTCAATCTCCTCTCACAAAAACAGTAACACTAAAAACCTTGTCATGCCAGTTATAGGGTTGTTTGGAGGATCTAATGACATAATGGACTTAAAGTTATGTTTCACAGACCAAAAAAAAAAAAAAAACACAGGAATTACGGCAGTCAACAGGATCTCCAAGTCTTCAGTCACAACCTGAGGAGAGTAAGTAAAACTAAGCCCTACCCTAAGGTGAGCCACTATGTGATAGTTCTCAGAAGGCCTTGTAGTTAGTGCCCCAAAAAAGACATCCAATATCCTTAAGGTGGCTGATATTTAGAGTTAAGGCTCAAGAATCAAACTATTTTTTGTCAAAACAGGTAATCCAATGTGAATCCCTTTGAGCAGCTGGGGTCAGAGGTCTGTAAAAAAGATTAGGTCCAGCTGGGCACGGTGGCGCATACATGTAATCCCAGAGGCTCAGGAGGCTGAGACAGGAGGATCTCAAGTTCAAAGCCAACCTCAGCAATGGTGAGGCGCTGAGCAACTCAGTGAGAGCCTGTCTCTAAATAAAATACAAAATAGGGTTGGGGATGTGGTTCAGTGGTTGAGTGCCCCTGAATTCAATCCCTGCTACAAAAAAAAAAAAAAAAAGATTAGGTCCAACCCTTTCTTATTCTCTGGCCTCCAGTCCTGGAGACTCTAAGTACTGTTAATTTTGCACTCACTCACCTGAGCTCTGGAGAATAGAGACACTGGAGCCAACCACTTATATAAAAGTATGAAGGCTAATAACTTCACTAACAAGGATGCTAGATGACATTGTTACCTTTGTTCTAGGTCACTGTTACAGTGCTAGCTTTACACACATTCTCTCAATTAATCCTTAGAACACTATAACATTAATAAGTACTATTATTAACTTCTTTATTTAAACAAAAACAAAACAAAACAAAAAGATAGTGAAGCTGATGTTCAGAACAACAAAGAAACTTGCCCAAAGTCACAAAGCAAATAAGTGATGAAACCAGGAATCAGTTTCAGGCAGTGCTATATCCCTGTGTTGTGTACACGTCTGTCTCCCTCGTAGAGTACATGATTCTCAAGGTATGGACTAGGACATTATCTCCACATCTCCCACAGCACCCAGCACAGGGCTTTACAAATAGTTGGGGATCAGGTAAAGTCTGCTGGACAATGAACCGTTTCTGATAATACAGACAAAAAAGTAGAGATCTAGTTATTTGGGCATGCCAACCATTTAGGTCTCAGAAGACTTAAGTTAAAACAGTAATTAGCATAAGGCTGGGCTGATTGGGAAGAAAGCCACTAAAAGGGCAGAGAAGACAGGAGCATGTCAAAACCAGGTGGCCACAAAGAAAATCATGTGACAAGTCCTGAGTAGGCACCAGTAGGAACTGAATGAGAGGACACACTCAAGCCTTCATTTCATTCATTCATTCAGCAAATAAATATTGATTGCCTACTACAAGGCATCATTCTAGGTGCTGGGAATGGAGCACAGAACAAAACAAATCTCTGCCCTCCTGGAGTTTACATTTCCTGAAGGAGACTGACAATAAATAAGCAAATACATAACTTACAGTGAAAAATCATTTAAAATGAAATAGTGCTTTGCAGAAAACCAGCATAGAGAAAGAGGATAGAGAACCAGCCAGGTGTCCCAGGAAGGCCTCTCTGAGGATATAACATCGGGGTAACTGTGAATGGAATGAGGAGTGGGCTGAATTACTGTGGGGAAAGGTGCACTTGTCTGGGTAGAAAAACAGGAGTAGAAAGGGCCTTGAGGGGAGGAGTATGCTGCTGCCCCTCTCCAACTACCTCACTTCATGAAATGAAGAATACTAAGTTGGGGGAGGTGGAAACTACAAATTTATGCTAAAATGATATTAAAGATATATTCAATAATTATTTCTGGTGAGAAAAAGTGTACAAAAATGAAAGCAAGATATGAAAATTAAGGAATGTCTCTCTGCTCATATCATAGGAAAAGGAGGAAACAAATATTTAGGATTACTTCTTGAATTTTACACTATTTCATTTAATCTTAGGTAGCCTCCCAAGCCCCTGGGATTTTCATAGGTAAGGAAACTGAGAAATCAATCCAGTAAGCCAGAATTCCAACCAATATCCATGCTTTTTCCTCTACTTGATACTATTTCCTAGTAAAATATTCTATTCTTATAATAAACTCTTGGTGTTTCCCCCAAAACAGACATTTTATCTCTTTTTTTTAAAAAATATTTTGTTTGGTTATAGTTGGATACAATACCTTTATTTTATTTATTTATTTTTATGTGGTGCTGAGGATTGAACCCAGGGCCTCGTATATGCTAGGCAAGTGCTCTACCGCTGAGCCACAACCCCAGCCCCTCTCTTTTTTTTAAGTGCTGGGGATTGAACCTGGGGCCTTGCTAGGCTACATATCCAGCTGAGCTACATATCCAGCTCCCAGATTCTATTTTTTTTTTTTTTTAATTCTTTGGTACCAGGGATTGAACCCAGGGGGTGCTTAACCACTGAGCCACATCCCCAGCCCTTTTTATTTTTTGAGACAAGGTCTCACTATTGCTTATAGCCTCACTAAGTTGCTGAGGCTAGCTTCAAACCTGCAATCCTAATGTTTCAGCCTCCCAAGCCCCTCCCTGGGATTACAAGAATGTGCCACCATACCCTGGCAAACAGAAATTCTTAACCAGTGATTCATGGAGTACTTTCAGGGGTTAAAAAAAATCCCCAGAAAATATAAATAAATGTTTCAGATTTTTGTTTTTATTTTTTCGGGGCTGAGGATCAAACCCAACTTGCTAGGCAAGCACTCTACCAGTGAGCTACATCACCAGCCCCTGTGTATATTTGTACATTAAATATATCTGGGGAGAAGAGACATTGCTATCATCAGCATCTCAAAAGAGAGGGATTGAGATTGAACCCAGAGATGCACTACCATTGACCTACATATCCTGCCCTTATTTATGTATTTATTTATTTATTTTATTTTGAGAGAGGGGCTCAATAAGTTGCTGAGGCTAACTTCAAATTGTGATTCTCCTGTGTCTGCTTCCTGAGATACTGAGATTACAGGTGTGTGTCACCATTCCTGACTCCTGCTGCCCATGTTTGATGGCTGTTGCTGGTATAAGATGAAAGGTGTGGGAAGATTTTAATCATCCCATCCAGAGTAGAGTGTCAACCTACAATCTCTCACCTATCCAGCATGCATCCTCAAGTACTGAATTATTTTTTGGTTTTGGTACTAGGGAGCGAACCCAGGGCCTCCTGCACACACATTCTCTCACTGAGCTACACCCACAGCCCAGATGCTGTTTTAAATTCCCAAAACTGTGGCATAAGCAATTCTGAAAGAAGAATATGCCACAGAAAAGGAACACTTACCAGGAAGGCCCCTTAGCTTGGAGAAAAATGCGATCTACCTTACTCTCCAGACCCAGCTCAACTTTATGAGACCATGTGGTGTCTCGCTATTCCCAGGACCAGAAGGAAGAAGCCACCAAGGCCCTTCCCACAGTCATACAGCCCCTCCACTCACTACTTACCCTGGCCCACTTCTTACTCTACTGGATAGAAAGTGCCTTTTTAACAAGACCAACATCTAAGCACTTCTCGCAATGTCCACAGCAGTGTGAGAGAGAACACGGCCTAGCAGTCCGAAGCATTAGCTTTGGAATTAGATAGGCATGGGCTCAAATCCTAACTCTTCTTGGGTGTAAATGTGGGCAAGTTACATAACCCCCGAGCTGTAAAATGGCATAACATTATCCCCCTAGTAGTGTTACTCTGCGGATCAAGTGAGGTGGTGTACGTCAAGCAGGTGGTCCTGTGCCTAACACGCGTAGGAGGCCAATCAGTGGTAGTTACTGCTATTTACTGCCGTCGCTGTTGTTGGTTCAGCGCACAGCGGCATTCAGGCCCCGGGGGAGCGGTCTCCTCGCGCGAGCTACTCCAGCGGTCCTCCAACCTGCCTCAAGCCCGGGACGCCCCTGGACTGACCCACCGGGCGGTCTCCCAGTCCCACAGGTCTCAGAAGGTCTTTCCCCACCGCACCCGCACTCGCGCCAGGCCCCTTCCCAGTGCGCCTCCATTCCCCTGCCCGCCGGAGTCACGCGCGGTAATGGTAGAAAGTTACCATTTTCTTGCTTTCGGTACCACGGTTCGCCTGCCTCGACATTGTGCCGGCCGCCCCGCCCCGCGTCGCCTAGCCGCGCCACAAGCCCGCTCGGCGACCCCAGAAGCTGATAGACCCTGTCGCGGCCTCTCGGACTCTGGGACTGATGGATCCGTCTCACCGCGCCTGCGCGGCCTGCCAAAAGGCACCACGGGAGTCGTGGTCCGACCGACGAGGGTAACTCCACCCGACAAACGTCGGACTACAGCACCCGACAGTCCTGCCAGCAGCCACGCCTCTTGCGCACACGAACTACAACTCCCAGAATGCCGCGCTCCCGGTTCGCTGAGTATGGCCCCCAGGGCTGCATTCTGGCCGCTGGGTGGCGTCCGCCGCTTGCGGTAATCGCGTATCATCTGTGCACTGTCCCCTTTCCTCCCCTTTCCCTCCCCCACGCCGGTCTCAGAGATGCTTTGCAAATTCCTCTCCGCGCTAGGTCTTGGAAAGTCCCTCTTTCGAACTAGCTTCTTCCGCTGTTGCTGCATCTCAGCTCCAGAAGCTCCTAGGATGTCCCCGAAAACTAGCTGTGGTTCACAAACAGATCTGACTTCCTCATTATACAGATTTTTAATGACAACCTACTCCATGTCAAGCATTTCACTAGTAGCTTTCTCTTCACTTGCCATCTGTTCCCATACGCAGCCATGACTCGCATCCTATCACCTTTGGCCTCGCGATGGAATATCCAATCTTTTAGATAAAGTTCAAGTCAACTTCTCCCCTTTCCTGCCCTAGAAGAGCTTCACTCTCTGATTCCCATAAAAGAAAGATCACCAGCTGTGATGGCAGTAAGTCCTGAGTTCTAATCCCAGATTCGCCATCTGAAGCCAGTTCCTGGATCTCTGTCAGTTATGAAGTTTAACAAGGCGAATATGCAGAACGCTGGGCATACAAAAGATACAACGTAAATACATATTACCTTCCAGTCACCAGTTATAATCACAGCCTGACAACTGTTGGGAAATGTGCTGGATGAACCCTCATCCACCACCAAGGGGAAGTCCTACAGCTGCCGACCACAGGTCTTTGGTTTCAGCTCCAGCCATCCCTCCTTAGCCATTAACTCTGACTGGGCTGGGGCTCTTGAATACCCTCTCCTCACTTCAGCCTGATGACCTGACTCTGCAGCATCTGTATTCTAACCCCTAGCTTTCACATGACAACCAGTCTGTTTAGACACCAGCCAGCCAGGCTGGGGGACCCAGAATTTCCCCAGTCCCTTCATCTGAGTGCAAGACCAATCATTTTTATACCCTTCTCCCTGTGGCACAGACATTCTGGGACCTCCCTAGGGACAGTGACCCCTGACTCTTCCTTCCGTGTCATTCCTCTAGGGGAGAGGGCTAAAGGCTGAAGACTTTGGGAAGCAACCTGAAGGTTGGTTGAGGAGGGTGGAGGAAGCAGGGGCCAGCTACCCCACGGAGGCCAGCATAGCTGGAGAAGAACCTCCTACATTCCCAAGAGAGAGGACAGCTGAGGTGAAAGCTGCAGTTGGCCAGCCTGTCTGTCGGTCTGGGCTCCTCCCTTCTGGCTGCCTTGGCTGCCCACAGAAACCTGAGTCACAGTCACGGCCAGCCACCCGACCCCACCCAGCCTGCTGTCAGGCAGGGCGGTTGTGGAGAGACTGGAGGTGGAGCCTCATCCAGCCTGTCTCCAGACTCTGAGATTCTCCTTCTCTGCCTGTGATTCCTCTTGAGGTTGCTTTCTCTTTGGGACTATCCTCAAAGTGTCATCAGTCCTGAATTAAGGGTGGGGGTGGGGACCATCTGTTGATCTATGGAGTCTCCTCCTTGCTCACATTGGAACTTAAAAACTCCTTGGGAGTGTAGCACTAGACCTTGGGTTTAATTCCCAACACAAAAAGAAAAAAAGAAAAATATTCCTTATACAGATGATCTGAGGGCTCTCATTTTCAAATTCCAATCCCTCCCCATCACTTCTAGGGATCAGGACATTTAGCAACATCAGGTAGCTGCTCCCCCCCCCCTCATCTCTTTCTACCTGGAAAGAACACTGCAGGGTCGGCTATCCTTCCCTATCAGGGGCTCTAGACAAAGACTCACCTCACAAAGAGTTGAATCTACTTAGTTCTGAATCTGAGTTCCTCCTCACTTCAATCCTTCTCTGTTATTTTCCCTCCCATAGAGCTAAAAGGAGGGATGCAGCTTGTGTCACCACTGCCCTAGCCCCAGTCCCAAGCAGTGAGCCCTAGAGGCTAAAGCTCTCCAAGAAAGCCAGTTTGGATTAGAGACCCCTTTCTTATATTTGTTTTTTTTTTTTTTTTAGGTATAGATGGGTACAACACAATGCCTTTATTTTTATGTGGTGCTGAGGATTGAACCGGGGTCCCACCCGTGCTAGGGGAACGCTCTACCGCTGAGCCACAATCCCAGCCCCTAGAGACCCCTTTCTTGCAGCAGCACCTTGGGGGTGGGGTGGGGTGGGAGTGAAAATCTCATGTCTGTTCTTTCCGATGTCCCCCAGATGGCCCCACCCACTTCCTACTTTGTGGGTGTGGAGGTGGCATCCAGAGCCTCAGCCTGAGATTCATATCTGTGAGTAAAATCTCCCAGTGATTTCCTTCACCTCTCCATCAGGTTCATCCTGGATTTTGTCTTGCCAAACATAAGAGATTCTTGCTGCTGCCCTCCCCCTAGGGGGATCAGGAAGGAGACCTATTTCTGATCCTCACTTAGGGATCTGCCCCCAGCCCCAGCCCAGCCTGGTAATAAGATTAACTCTGCCTGTTTCTGTGGAGGAAGAGGGGACTGCCCTGGGCTGCAGAGGCAACAGAGTTCCCTGCTCCTCACTGAAGAGGACAGGGTGAGTGTTGGTGTTTCAACACCTGATATTGCATGATACCACATTTCCCATTCTCTGGGATGTCTAACATTTGTGGGACCAAGTGGAACCCTCAACTACTGTCACCTAGTCCCAAACCCAGAGATGACAACCATATGACATCCATCTTCAACTCTCAGTTGCTGGGGCCTGAGACCTGCTGGGGATCTGCTGGAGACAAAGGAAAGGCATCTACACCATCTGTCTACTGTGATTACATCAAATCAGGGGCATTCTTGCTCTCCTGGCTTCCCCTAAGCCATCCTCCCAGGCTGCCTGCGGGTACATCAGTTGTGCAGGAAGCCTTCCGGAGCTAGCCTAGAGGACTGGCCCTCAAGTTGCCTAACTCCCAGATGCCCTGCAGATATCCTGCATCAGTGTCTTGTGAGGGGCTGCAGGAATCTCAATCTGGGAGGGAAGGGTTTGTCAACCTTGGCACCTATTATGGTTTGGATGTAAGTTGTTCCCCTGAAAGCTCATGTGTGAGAAAATGCAAGAAGGCTTAGAGGAGAAATGACTGGGTCATGACAGCCTTAACCCAATCAGTGAATTAATCCCCCTGATGGGATTAACTGAGTGAAAATTGAAAGCAGGTAGGGTGTGGATGGAGGAGGTGGGTCCCTGGGGGCGTGCCTTGGGGTATATATTTTGTATCTGGGCAAGTGGAGTCTCTCTGCTTTCTGACCATCATGTGAGCTGCTTCCCTTCACCACTCTCTTCCACCGAGATGTTCTGCCTCACCTCAAGCCCTGAGAAATGGAGCTGGCGGTCGATGGACTGAGACCTCTGAAACTGTGAGCCCCAAAATAAACTTTTTCCTCTCTTAAAATTGTTCTGGTCAGTTGTTCTTTTAGCCACAGTAGCAAAAAAAAAAAAGCTGATGGGGCTGGGGATGTGGCTCAAGCAGTAATGCGCTCGCCTGGTATGCGCTGGGGGCTGGGTTCAATCCTCAGCACCACATAAAAATAAAATAAAGATGTTGTGTCCACCGAAAACTGAAAAATAAATATTAAAAAAATTCTCTCTCTCTCTCAAAAAAAAAAAAAAAAAAAAAAAGCTGATGAAAACGGCACCATTGGCATTTTGCCCTTGGTAATCTTCATTGTTGGGGATGGGCCTTTGGGGTTGTAGGATGCTAAGCAGCACCCCTGGCTGTCACTCATAGATGACAGTAGCACTCCCAGTGTGACAATCCAAACATCTTTAAGGCTTTAACTGGGTGTGGTGGTGCATGCCTGTAATCCCAATGACTTGGGAGACTGATTGCAAGTTCAAAGCCAGCCTTAGCAATTTAGCAAGACCCTCTCTCAAAAATAAAAAACTTTTAAAAGATTTGGGAATGTAAACAAAGTCTTTAAACATTGCCAAATGTCCCCCTGCATGGGGGTGGTTACCCTTGATTGAGAACCACTGACACAGGCTAATAATACCACATACTACCTCTTTTCAGTGAGCTCCCCCAGTTCTTTTTTCTTTTGTATTACTGGGGATTGAATTTAGGGTTGCTTAATCACTGAGCCACATTCCCAGACCTTTTTTATATTTTATTTAGAGACAGGTTCTTGCTGAGTTGCTGAGGCTGGCTTTGAACTCACGATCCTCCTGTCTTAGGGCTGGGATTACAGGCTTGGGCCACCACACCTAGCCCAGAGCTCCCCCAGTTCTAAGGCCTGCTTGCCCTTCTTCTGTTGAAGAATCGCTTGATCTTGATTAGCTCCCAGGATCTGTGTTTCCAAGTTAGTGGCATTTAAGCCCTCCTATATAGGCTATCCCTGGCTTGTGTTTCATCTTCAGTACCATTTCCCCTGCTATTCCTTTTTTTTTTAAATTTTTTTAGTTGTTGGTGGACCTTTATTTTATTTTATTTATATGCAGTGATGAGAATTGGACCCAGTGCCTCACATATGCTAGACAAGCACTCTACCACTTAGCTACAGCCCCAGCCGAGCTCCCTGTTATCTTGAGCTTTAGCCAATGTGGGTGTCTCCCCATGCCCACCTATCTATCTGTAGTCCTGCAATAACCTCAAGACCAGGGGTGAAAGGTGGGGAAAGAACCACCCCAGAGGATACTCCCCCTGTTGGGTTCTGTTCCTGAATTTTCTGGAGTCTATCCATGGCCTGGCTCAGAGTGGCTTGTTCAGCCCTGAAAGATGCAGGTCCTGAGGATTTTGACCTCACAAAGGACAGTCATGGATTCCATTATCCAAATAGTCCCCTCACCCTGCAGATGGTACAACTAGCAAAAAGATAGGGGATCTGTTTCCCATTTTTGCCTTCAAAGCCCCCTGCATCATCAAAGTCATCATAATCATATTTATTAATACTTCCTTTTCTTTCTTTTTATTTTGGTATTGGGAATTGAACCTAGGGGCACCTTACCACTAAGCTACATCCCCAGTCATTTTTATTTTTTATTTTGAAACAAGGTCTCGCTAAGTTGCTGAAGGTCTTGCTAAATTGCTGAGGCTGGCCTCAAACTTGTGATACTCCTGCCTCAACCTCCCATCATTGAGATTACAGTCATGTACTACCTTGCTGGGTTTATTGAGCACTTCCTATATGCCAGGCTCTATGCTAAGCAGTTCATAAATTGTCTTATTTAATTTTTATTTTTATTTTTTGGTACTGAGGATTGAACCCAGGAGCACTTAACCACTGAGCCACATCCTCCAGCCCTATTTTGTATTTTATTTAAAGACAGTTCTCACTAAATTGCTTAGGGCTTCACTGAGCTTCGCTAATTTGCTGAGGCTGGCTTGGAACTCTGAATCCTCCTGCCTCTACCTCCTGAGTAGCTGGGATTTCAGGCATGCACCACCGCGCCCAGCTGCTTTATTTAATCTTTATAACCATCCCATGCTACTTCATGGCACTATTATTTTCCTGATTTTATAGGTGAGCAAGTTGCATTTCAGAAAAGTTAAATCACTAGCTTAAGGTTACCAGCTTCTGTTGCTGGCCTTCTATCATCATTTTTCTCTAATGTCGTTCCATCCCCAAGCCCCCAGTTATTCCCATGTTCCAGGACAGGAAGCTCCCAGGTTGCCTAAGACTCTGGTCCTTTTGTTCCCCACCCTCCCTTTATAGCTGCTCTCTGGAATTGTTTAGAAGAAGGGGACCTGGAGGGCAGAGGTTGTAGCTCAGTAGTAGAGCGCTTGCGGTAGCACAAGTGAGGTACTGGGTTGGATCCTCAGCACCACATAAAAAAATAAATAAAATCAAGGCATTGTGTCTATCTACAATTAAAAAAGATTTTTAAAGAGGTGGGGGATTTGGCCGGAAAGGGGGCCCACAACTCACTGGGCCTAATCTCTGGACAATGAAGAACCAGAGAAGTGACCTTCTGGAGGTTAGGACAAAGGGCAGGGACAGGGTGGGCAGAGTCCAGCTGCCCCTCCTCCTTCCTCCCTTCAGTCAATCCCTGCAGCGGCACCATCATCGATCCACCTTCTCAGCAAGCTCCCCACACTGTCCCAGTCTGGGCCTAATTTGGCTTGAGGCCCTCACCTCTGGCATGGACAAGGGGATTGGGGAGCTCACTCCAGAGGGCTGGGAAGCAGACCTACCTTGAGGAGGGGTGTCAGGAGGGATTCACCACTTCCTCATCAATAAGCCCAAGGGGAGAAATCCTGGGAACTGGGGTGGGGGTGGGGTATCTTCTGGTTAGGGTGGGGGAGGTTCAGGGCCAGGACCACCCAGTTAGGAGCAGAAACGACCCAGCAGATTAGAGACCTGGATAAAGCAGCCGTCCAGGGCTGTAATTACCCCAGAGGAACCGGGAAGACACCAACCCTAGGATGTAGGAGGAAGGGCGGCAGCAAGGCGCCCAGGTCTCTCCCCATCCCAGCCATCACCAGAAAAGAGAAAGCGTAACCCTTGAGAGCTTTCTTTGCTACCTGCCTTCAAGCCACCCGACGTCTCCCGGATGAATTTAGATTGAGGTGGGTTTGGAAAAGAATTTAGACTCGATGCTGCCCACTCAACCCCAAGCCATAGCCCCCAGAATCCAGGGTAGGATTGCGAGTTCCCAGCCCCACTCCCCACTCCTCGGGTCCCAGTGGCGGGTGAGTCACCCGAGCGCTCCCTACATAGACTTCTCGCGCGGTGGCGCGTACCAACGCGGGACCGCAGGGGGAGGCAGCTCGGCCGGCGTCCTCCCAAAGCTGCGGCGCCCCCTCTGCGTTGGTCACGGAATGGAGGTCCCGAGGTTTTGAGCGCCGCGACCCAGGGCGGGGCGGGGCGGGCAGGGTGGGCCTGTGGTGGCTCTGTCCCCAGACTCTTCAGGGACGTCTCTCCCTGCATTGCATTTGGTACGCTCCAGCAGAAGAGGCCAGGCCCAGCCCGGGCGGTACAATAGGGTTGGGCCGTGGCCGGGACTGGGCCAGCGCCGGGCACAGAGCAGGATCTCGGCCGGAACCCACAGACAGTGGGCGGCCGGCGACCCCGAACCTCGCAGGCCACCAGCCTCGACTTTCCTGGAGCGTCGCCGCCTCCGAGTCGTTGCCCGCCTGGCGGGCCCGGCGTGATGCTCCGCGGGACCCCTGTCCTGGCTTCGGGCCGCCGCCGTCGCCGCCGCTGAGACCCCAAGACCCCCAGTGACGCCGCAGCCATGGAGAGCGGCCCGCACGCGGAGCCGGGTCCCGGTGCACCCCCAGGTATGCCGGGAGCCACACAGAGGCGAGGTGGGAGGGAGGTCCAGGGCCGCCTGGAGGCCGAGGATGAGGCCGGCTGCTGGGCGGGTACCCCTCCCCCGCCGCGCCCTCTGACCACTTGGAAGTTTAAAAATAAAGGCTGCGGTGGTGGCCGGGGCTCGGGGCCACCGACGCATCTTCTGACAGCTGCCCCCTCCCCCACCCCGGGTGCCAGGACACACTGGGAGGCGGGATCCACAGGGAACAGCTCGGGAGTTTTGGAATGACCCTTCCACCGCAGCCCAGTGCCATCTCGCCTTCCCTGCCCCCATCCCTCTTCTCCATCCACCCCAGGCCCAGAAGATCGTCTTCTAACTGAGCTGGGGCATCTGTCCCTCTCCCCATCCCGTGTGGACACGTGTGTCCCTAGCCTGAATGTGTGTTGGAGGTCCAGATTCTCAGGCCTGGCGCCCTGCATACCGAAGCCTAGGTCCTAGTCCCTCCACTCCCAGGCCCTGGCCAGACCTCTCCCCCACCCCATCCGTCCAGCTGCCGCGCAAAGGGCCTGTTGCTGCTGCGAGCCGGCCTGGAGGGGAGGGCCGAAGAGGGGGAGGTCTCTAGTGGCGGCTGCCAAGTAACCCGCCGGATAAAGGCGAGGGGGGAGGGGGAGGCGGCATTGTTTGGGGCGAGGGCGGGAGCTGGGGAGTGGGCCGCCTCCCCAGCAGCCAGGCCTACTCCGGAGCCCACCCAGCCTGATTTGGGAAGGAGGGGGACATAAGTAAATCTGCTTGTCCTGCCCGCCCTCGTGCCCCGCGACTGTGGGCCTGAGTCTCGCATTGCAGAATGAAGTGAAGGTTCCTGGTCTGGATTCCCCGGACCTGCCACATCATTCTTCAGCCTGAGCTTTTGGATACCTCCCCGCTTATTTACAGAACACACACATACACGCACACTCACACTCTCCAGGCTCCAGACAACCAAAGCTCCCTTACCCACCGGACACCCCACCAACCACCATTGCCCAGGACTTCTGCAAATCCCATTCGATCTAGGAGCAGCTGATGAGGGGGTGGGGACTGGTTTCTGGTTGGCCTGGTGGTGGAGGGAGGGCTTTTTCTCTTTCTTCCTGGAAGGGGAGGGAAGAGCATGATTACTGAGGACCCAAGTTTTGTTCCCACTGACTCAGGGGGGAGGTGGCCTTGTCCCCACACCTCCATGGAGTCCTAAGCCTAATCCCAGTCACCTCCCTGCCCCCTGGGGCATGGGACCTGGATGAAACAGTGTCTGTGGGTGCGGAGAGAGCCTGGGACAAGGTGGGGCTGCTTGGCTGTGGGTGGGCTCCTCCCCATGCCAGCTTTGATGTGTGGAATGGACCCCGTAGGTGTGGGAGTTAGGAGGCTAAGGAGAGGAGGCTACTGTCAAACTGGTGGGTTTTAGGAGATGTACAGACTGCTGGAAACAAGGGTGTCTACATCTGTTTTGACTCTTCTGATCCTGGGAGGGGATACCCAGGGAGGCCCTGCCTGGTCCATTCATCTGCTTACAGACCCTCTGTACCTAAGAGTCCCCTGGCACTGCAGTATACATGGAGTGGATGGAGTGGTGACCTAAAGGGCTAGAGAGGTGCTAGATTATAACTAGGACACTTGGGTGGGGGTATAGACTGAATGTGAGGATATGATGGGATTCTGAGCTGAATCAGGGTCATAAGTGAGGGCAGGGAGCTGCCTACAGGGTCCTGGATTGGGAAACTCTTGTTTACGCAAGGGTCTAAACGGAATTATATGAGAACTTGAGTCAGGATGGTGACTAGTCCCTACACAGAGAGAAGCTGAAGGTGACAGGAGTCCCAGTGAGACAGGGCTTCCTGGGAGTAAATGTCATGCCCATAGCATGTGCCCTGGGAGAGTCTGAGACGTGGGCCTGAAGCTCTGAGTGCACGTGACAGGCCCCTTGCCCCCATGTGCACTTGCACAGGGAGCACTAACAGCAGGCAGCACAGGACAGGGGAAAGTATGGCTCCTGCTTTTGGGTTAGAAAACCTGGGTGGAAATCCCAGTTAGATGGTTACTGACTACTGGACTAGAGCAAGTGATTACCCCCTGGAGCCACAGTCTCTGCCCCTGGAAAATGGGGTCGTGTTATCAACCATGTGGGGTGTGAGAGTTAGAGATGATGAACCTGAAGGAACCTGGCACGCAGACACCAGACACACACAATACAGTGTTATTACCATTATTGTGGTTAGGCTCATTGGAACTGGTGCCAGGAGGGAGGGATGAAATATGGGGGAGGTGGGGGTGGGAATTGGGAGGTAGTTGGTTTCAGAGTGTAGACTCTGGAATCAAACAATTTAAATTCCACCTCATAACACTACTGGGTGACTTCCGGTAAGTTGCTTAGCCTGTCTCAAGTTTTCCCATTGATAAAATGAGAACAATGTTAGAAATGATCTCATAAAGACATTAGGATCATTAAGTGAAATGAATACTTCAAATTCTTAGTCTAGGCCCTTGCGTGGAATTAGTTCTCAATAAATGCCAGCACTTTGATTTTTGTTGGTATTATTTCTAATTCATCTAGAGGCCCGAGGAGGAGAAGATGTGATGAATTAGAACTTCAGGAGGCAAAGAGGTCAGAGGGCCAGGGGAGGGGAGTGCTACACAGACATGTGACAATAGGAGTAGGAGAAGAGCCCCAAGAGGTGCAGACATCCTGCACTGTGCTGACGTGCCACTGTGCAGCTTGGTATTGGCTTGGCTGACATAGAGAACAGAGTCCCTACCCCGGGCTCAGCCGAAATGGGGGGACGTTCCTAGCCTGGTGTAGAGGGGAAAGCAGGGGATGTTCACCTGGAGGGAAGTCATGTGTAGTGGTGATACAGTGGACAGTGTGCTGTGCTTGTGGAAGGCTTCGTGGAGGAGGAGGTATTTGATGTGGACCTGAAAGGACGAGTAGAAGCTGGGATTGGCACAAGGGGCCAATCATACATACATCAGCTAGCCTGACTGGCACCTCCCACTGTCCCTCCTTGGGCTAGTGAGTCCTGAGGCCTCTGATGAACCCCTAATGTGCAGTCATGCGTATGCAAATGAGGAGGAGGGGTGCTAAGTCAGCTTGGCTCTCCTCCCCAAGATGGGCAGCTGCTCTTGGTGGGGCAGAGGTGAGGGAAGGAGCTGGAGGCTAAAAACCACACTATAGTGGTGGCATTTGAAGGCTATTAGGCAGGTCTCAGGTCTGACCAAGCCTGGAGGAAAGCAGCTGGAAACCATGTCCTTGGGTCCCTGCTGGGCCTTGGGGCCAGGGAGAGAGCCAAAGAGCCGGGCTCAGATAATGCAGCTTTGTTGGCTGGTGGTTGCTCTGCCTGGCACCCCAGGGCACAGCCTCCAGTGTTTCCTCCATCACCTCTCAGCTGCAGCTCTGCCCTGAGGGGAGCAGAGAGCCTGGTAAGGGGGTGGGGATCAGTTTTGCTGCCCTCCCTCAGTGCTCCTCACCAATTGTAGGAGAAGATGTGACATAGTCTCCCTGATAATCCAAGTTATCTCCCCTCTATTGTCTCCCACTCCTATTTGTTAAGGGCCTTCACTGTGCCTGGCATAATGCTCATCACATTATGTGCATTGTCTCATTTTTTTTCTCATTATTTCACATGACAATCCCATGAGTAGAACTGATATTATTCCCATTTTATAGACCCAGAGAGGTAAAGTTACTTGCTTCCAGTCACACAGGAACTGACAGAGGCAGAATTTGAACTCAGTCTGTGCACCAAACCTCTATACTGATTTATCATTGCCAAGCTGGCCAGTGACAGGGTCTAGCCCATTTCTCTTCCATAACTGGTCTTCTGAGGGCGTCTTGGTCTTGGGGACTGCCTGATCTTTTCTCTGGCGGGCAGAGGTAGAGCTAGCACAGCCTCTGAGTTCCCTGTGAATCCTACTTAGTTGGAGTCTGAGTAAGTTGGACCAGAAGGCAGTCACAGCCCTAGTGGCAGTGACAATCTAGCTCATGGGCCATCCCCAGATCTTGGCCTAGGGCTGGACCCTGCCCTCTGCCTCTGGGCCTGTGCCTGGGTTTCCCTGCTCAGGCTCAGGGAGGGACTTGGTGGAGCCCAGGCTGCGGGATGGGGTCATTTCCTGCCGCCTAAAATAACAGGAAGTGGGTGCTCCTGATTGGAGGCTGGAACAATGGCCGCCAGCTGGGCCAGAGAGCTCCTTCAGATCTGTGGTGTCTGTAGGGCTCCTGGCTTTATTGGGCTTTCTCATCCACAGAAGCCTCTGCCTGGCCCTGGTGCCCTATAGCCCAACTGCTGGGGCAGGCTGTACCCTCCCAGTCACTCCAGGCCAGGAGTGATGCTGCCCCTTAGAGTCTCCCTGTCCCAGTCCCACATTTAGGCTTCCCCAGCTTTGTCCTTCCTACCCATCCCTCATTCTTCTAGCCCAGACATCTCCAGAAGGCAGGGAAACCCAGGAAACTGCCCCATTGGATAGCAGACTGAGGGGTAGAGACTGTCACCGCAATGGCTTCCAGACCCCTTTGCTACCCACCAAGCTGCATGGCTTAAGCATGTGTTATAATCTTGCTGAATCTGTTTCCTGATGTGTAAAGTGGGGTGTTGATAATATCTGCCTTATTAGGCTGAAGACGGAATGAACTAACGAGCTCAGTGCAGTTTGCTGGGCCTGACACAAGCCCAACATCCCTGTCGCCAGTCAGACTTTCCCCAGGCCCAGGTGAAAGGGAGGGCAGAAGTGACCAGGATGAGGCTGGATAAATATATAGGGGACATGGAGTATCTGTGCATATATGTGTCTCTAGGTTTCCCTTGTGCTCAGAGGGGGTACCTGGCTCTGTGTATGTCTGTCTGTCTGTCTCAGGATGTGTGTGTGTCCCTGTGTGTTGTGAGAGAAAGCAGGACATATGTCCACTGTGTAACCAGGTATGCTGTTGGTGCCTCTCCCGTCTCTGGTGTGTCCTTGTCCATCTTGCCATGTGTCTTTGCCCTCTGCCTGCTTCTCTGTCTT